AACACTTGTTCCGGGTTCTGTTGTTGAGCGACGCGAGCTGAATTAAACAGACTTATCGTATGGCTAAAGGTAACACGTGTTCGGAGCCACTTTTGTTCCATCGATTCTACCCTTTCATTCTACACTTGTCTCACCGTTCACTATTTTCATTATCGTCTTTCAATATCACGGCACTTTGGTGACTATTCCTTTTCCTTGTCATTCATTAATTGAATAATTTAGTCATTAACGATGTGTTTCGCAACGGCAACGTCTTCAATTAAACGTTTCAACGATGATTCGTCATTGTTTTTTTTCGAAAAAAAGACGTCAGCTGGAAATAACGGTTCGAAGCATGACACTAAATTTACCACATTCTTAGTCACGAAAGAATTTCTGCGTTTTTAAATTTTATAAATTGCCCGATTTCTCAGCCGTCGATGATTAATCATTTTTCACGATTCTCCACTATCGCGTCCCGACCGAATTTTATCCAGCCTCGGGGAAATGATGTCATCGTTGGATCGTCGTTGGTTCACCACGAATGAGTCACTTCCTTTCGACTCGTTTTTCCCTATTTAGAAGAGCCTATTTTATATCGCGGTTTCACCTCTTTCGCGCTCTCCATAATTACATATTCTTAATCTAGCCTTCTTACTCTAGAAATATTCCAGTTTAAAATACCGTCGAGGAAAAATGTGACTGGAGTGTAAAACGAGACACGACCAGCCACTGAGAACAAAATGAAACCCGAGAAGCGTAAAACAGTAATTGTTACACGTTTGCACGTGTCTCGCGGTGGATTTTAATTAAATTACCATCGAATATTAATAAATTGCCACGTTTCATTTTTATAGAGAGTTCAGGGATTATTTCTACCTAAATCGTACTAACAAAAATTTGAAAGAGAATTTTCCAAGCTAGTCGAAGGCAGTTTCTGATGTGAGAACCGCACCGACGAAGAAAAGGACCGGAAGTGTGGCCGTCTGTCGCTCGCACAGTTTTAACTTGCAGCAATTTAACAGCTAGTGGTAAAAGGGGTGGCCAGCGTACCGTGACCCGACTGCACGGCTATGGTGAACCGACCTTGTCCCACAATGCACCTCTATAGGCGGTTCTTACCCGTCATTTTACAACCCCATCTTAACCCTTTCCCTTTTACACGTTTACAAAGGAAATAAAGTTACCCAGTTCGATGGTTTAGAAAACTTGGATCACCGTCTAAAATTGTTACAATCTTTCAACCGATATTAATTAACAAGCCTTTCCACCATAATTCCACAAGAATTTCTCTCGTCTAGAGAACCGCATACCGTCTTAATTACGCTAATCAACGCCCCTCTAGTCGCGACTACTTCCTAGTGTCGTGTCGCATATTCCACGGGCAATTAGTCGACGTTTCAATTGCTACTTCGATTCGATACATTTCAGTTCGACGTCTTTACGAGCGGCGAAGAGGAGGGACGAGATAAAAAGTGAGAATCTTGTTTCGGCCTTCGTTGGAATTCGAGTAATGCGGTCGAAGTAAGGTTTCGTTCGGTCGGTAGGACGACGCGGGTACTTTCGAAGCCCATTCGCGACTCGACCGCGGTTACGGAATCCAATAAGACCAGTCTCGGAAAATTTTCCTCGTCGATGGAAAAAGAGGAGGCTTAAAAGTATAGAAATGGAAGCTCGAAATATTCAAGAAGAAAGTTCGACTCTCCGGACGGCGCTATGAACACCCTGACAAAAATTGAAATTCACAATTTAAAAATCCGAAGAATAAAAGTCGAATTTGAAATCGGTGTTTCGAGCAACGTTATTCAGGAGGAATATTTTAATGTCAAAAGTGGCTCCATGGTTAAAAAAGAAAGGAACTGTATACGCGAGGAGAAAACAAGGGCCACACCGTCGCGCTGAAATGTCACGGATGTCGCAATGCAACCGTTCGCGTCAGCGAGTTGCATCCCGCCGAATGGCAGCGGGGAATTTTATGCAAATGCGAATAGTGTCGCGAGGCCAGGAAATATGCTACTCGTTAAATAGCCCGGTAATGCGAATCGGCTTGACAAAAGGCACCAAAGTTACACCTATGTGTTCGTATACAACGCGTAACGACGCGTTACGTAATCTGGCTGGCACAATTACCAGCGTAGACAACGTTATGGGCGCCGTACATGGAAAACAAACTCGTGACACAAATCTCGATTACGCTCGTGGCGCGAGGTGTGCGCCTCACCTTTGCGTCTCTAACCCTTTAACCACGGACGACGCATATATGCGTCGATGAAAATGAATTACAATTAAAAATAGCGTAATTGCTAATTTCAGATTGTCAGTATTTCCAAAGATTCAGAATAATTGATAATTATTCGAAATCTAGAGAAGCAATCGCCTAGATAGCGAACGAACCGAGTGATTCATAAAACGATCGAATATAATTTATTCACGCGTGCTAATGCAATGACTAATCGTCGAGTTGCTGGTCGCTCGTGAACGGTGTCGCGGATACACTTGAACCCTCGTCGCATTCTTATGCGGTTTTGCATACGATACTTATCAAATAGAAACAGGCAGAAGGGAAATTCAATGAGCCGCAATCAAAGCGTAACTTACGATCAATTTATCACCCTGTATAAATAATAATCAATTTTCATACGAGACAGAGAGACCAGCATGTTTGTTTCGATTGTTCGAAATGTTCCTATTACGAATGATATGGAAGCGCAAATTTCTTCCTCCTGGAAATATTGTATACCGTTATGTATTCGCTGATAGAACGTATCAATACAAGCTGTTTACAAGATGCGATAGCGAACACGTGATTTATCAAATCGCAGTGCACGTGTACGCAAAGGTGAAGCGAGAGATCTCTTTAATAGCGTAAGAAGATTTCTGAAGTTACAACACATTCGCGTTTATTTTAATATTTCTTTTGAAATGAAAAATCAAATTATTAGAATTTGTGTTATTTTAAAGAAATGCTATTGCACGCGTGTACCGTGTGGAAACGATGCTATCTTTGAGTGATCCATGACTCCGAGGATCTATAAATCTACCACGATGGAATGGAGCCTTCAGTCGAGTCGAGGTCTCCTGTTAGATCTTTATCCTTCGTTTCGCTTACGTAAATGATTGCATATAGGTCAAGTTGAATATTTCCATTTTTAGATATCTTAGGTGCTACTCCTTAACACATCCACCACCCTTGTATTCATAATTTTCAAAATGATATATTAACAAAGTTGCAACGTTCCGCGAAAATTGTACTCGGGTATCTTATCACTATTTACCACGTTTCAACGTGATATATCGTCACATGTATATGCCACGCGTGTTTAAAAATAAAACTGTTTAAACACTCTATAATGCATTCATTATTTCACACCATTATCGTAACTGGTTTGCAGATTTTCCTGTATTATCTCTATTTGCACATTTTGCATAATTCACGCGTTCTAAACAATTTATTCCACTTTCTTACACCTACCATATAATTTCTGTGCTCTGGTATGTTGTAAACGTTGAGCGAAAAGAAATCTTTCGAAACAATCTCAGAACGAAAATGTTGAATATAGAATCGAAAAATCAGTATTTTTATTTTACCAGTAGAATCGACTTCTCACGTGGATCGAGCACGCGTGTACCTCGATCTCGATCTCGGTACGGACTCGTATCGATTCGATCGAACGTTCTGTTCTGCAAAACGTTTCTATCCCGACCCGTTCGCAATCGACCCATTAGCCGTTGCACAGATTATCCAGTTAGCGATATCAATTGCGACTCCTTTCTTACTTTCCTTCTCGTTTGATCGAAGGATCCTAGAATTAAACGAAAAACCGACACGATTCCGTTCGCGATTCTGATATAAATGCTCGGTTTCCTCGTCACGCCGTCTGAGCTTTCGAACAAATTTTTCTCACCGCAACTACAGCTGATCGGGAGAGCGTAATTACCTCTGTATTGTTGAGAACGTTCTTTTTTCTTCTTCTAAAGCGTATGCGCATTGATTACGCGTTTATCAAGTCGTCTCGCCTGCATTTCCTCTGTTAATTAATATGCCGCACCTCAGACAACGACCTTATAATTCCATTCCTACCCGATCTCCGCTACGTGTAACGCGCGTTATACCATTGTGCAACGATAAATCGCGCTTTTATTTCCTCGTTGCGTAGAGAAGAGTCGTGGAAAGTTCAATAATAAACGTGCAATAAAAATCTTTAAGTTCAAGTTTGCATTTTCCATGCTATTAAATTTCATCGATATAAATCATTCCTCTTTCTGAAATCCAGGATAGTATGTTAAATTATTATATAATTCATTGCTACATTACACACAGTGTTGCATTGTTACACGGATCAGTGAATTCAGATTGAATGCAGAAAGAAAGTATGCAAGTATAACGAGGAAAGATATATAGTGCATCTGTTCTGCATTCATTCTGGCAGTTCTCGAATCATCGTGCAACACGTGAAATAATAAAAATAAATAAATTTTCTTTTAATGGGTTAATTATAATGGTTGACGCATCCATGTTCTCCTTATTCATAATGGTATCATTATCAAAGGATGTTCGCGATAAGCGTCGGCGTCGTCGACCGCTTGTCGTTTCCCTCGAAACTTTTATCCACCAGGATTTCCATATTTTCTTCACGCAGGAAATGCTCGATGAAGAATCTCTCGAAAGGTTCGCAACGCGCGTTAGATGGCATGCGAGATCGCTATCCGTTTCCAAGATACTCCTCCGGCGATAAATTAAATTAACCAGTAGTATTGGCTTAACGCGTCGGTGCACCAGGAATTTGACACGTAATTAAGTTGAAATCGTTAGGATATCTCGGTTATCGGCGTCTCTGTACTCTCTAACGTTAATTAAATCGACCGTACTTATCTTAAAAATTGACAAAACTTCAACGTAAAGTTGTTTTACCTCGATCGCGGAAGGTGAACCGGCTCGTTCGGAATTAGCGATTTATGTACCGGAAACGTTCACTCTTATTTGCCGTCGGTAATCAATTGCGTCACGGTATCGTTTCCAGACACATACCGAAGGCAAAGGCAACCACAATGGCGGAGACACCGGAACTAAAACGCATCGCGGAGAACACGAAGATCCAAAGTAACGTCAAGTACCACGCGGAGTTCGAGAAGGCAAAGGGCAAGTTCACCCAAGTGGCCGATGATCCGGAGACACTGAGAATCAAGCAGAACAGCAAGATCATCTCGAACGTTGCGTACCATGGGGAACTTCAGAAGAAGGCGATCATGGAGCAGAAGAGGACGATGACCGGCGAGAACGGTGAACAAATTGGTAAGTCAAAGGTTATCCTCTCGTTTCACGCGTGCCCTTTTACAGTTCCTTGTACAGAACCGTCTTGCTTTGTCGTTTCTAAATGTTTGCGTTCGCACGGTGCACCAGGTGAACGGAAGTTATTGGAATATTGATATCAGAAATGTGCTAACATCCTTCGATAGAAGTATCTAACAATTCCAACCTAATCGATCCTACTAACAAGGGGAACTACCCAAGTGTTACACTCACTTATTAATGAAACTTTGCCAGCTTGTAGAGCTCGTCGAGCTGAACACGCCTATACCCCCTTTTGGGGGCAGACGGCTAATTGTTTAAAAGATATTAATAATTACAATTAGTTACTCCTTACATTCTGAAGTATGACAAACTCGCACATACAACTTGCAATCTAGAGATCCACGGTGCAAATCCTTGGTTCCCAACATATATATATTTTTTTTAATGATAATTTGTCTCTTTTTGAATAACTATTACATAAAAATTATCATAAAAAAAAAAAAAATGATTTTTGGGAACCAAGGATTTGAACCGAGGACCTCCAGATTGCGAGTCATGGATCCGCTCCGTGGTTAAACACAGGACTCGCAATCTAAACGTCGTAGGTTCAAATCCTGGGTTCCCATTTTTTTTTTTCTAATGATAATTTGTCTCTTTTTGAATAACTAAAATTCTATATAATTCTAAACTAAAATTCTATATTCTATTTTGACTAACTTTAATTATTAATATCTTTTAAACAATTAGCCGTCTGTCCACAAAACGGGGTATAGGCGTGTTCAGCTGGACGAGCTCTACAAGCTGGCAAAGTTTCATTAATAAATGAGTGTAACACTTGGGTAGTTCTCCGTATAAGCTCGAATAAAACAAACCATCATTTTCCTCTTCCTTAACGTAACGATAGTACTTCACAGAGAAAAGGTGTCGGTACAAATTGCTTTTCGCTTTCACCTAAACCACAGACGATAAATAACGAAGCTTCCCTAGATTTTGAAACGATCTTAAAATAGCGGCTAGATAAAAAATTTCTAGAGTAGCTACGAGCGATGCTGCGGACATTGTCGAGAAGAATATCGCCAAGCTTTGTGTATTGTTGAATTTAGAGTACGTAGAGTACACGGACGGTACAATCGCGCCTACATCGGGCGTGAACGCGAATCCACCGGTCGCGAGAACTGCGAATTCCCCGGTGCAAAGGACACCAGGTAGGATCGCCGATTACGATCCCCTTAGCGAGGCGAGGCCGAGCCCTTATTCCGCCAGGCAAGCGGCCACTACTGTCATTTATACGAGCGACAAGGGACCAGGTGAGTATTTAACAATTTTACCCGAAAAATTTTACTCTTCTTCACCCCAGTCCAGTGTCTTAAGAATCAGAAGACTTTGGTGAACTTAGACACCCTTGATATGTTTCTGATAGAAACGAACGCATCGCGTGGAACCGTTTCATTTTTGTGCAAAAATGTAATATGTAACCGGGAAAGCTGTTAACGGTGGCTGGTCAGAAAGTATTTCTGTTTTGTGCGAACGCGTGTTGCATTTGTTCTGTTACCAACTCACCGACCACGTCAATTCACTGGTAACCACTTCCGATTTCTTATCCATTCACCATTTTATGTTGTATGGAACCTGGATATTCTGTTAACACGTTGAACGCCATGGGGGTCACCGGTGACCGGCTTCGCAATTTACACATGCCTGAATAATTAAAAAAAAAAACAATAGAAAAACATTATTTTAGTGAAATGGCAAATAGAATGAATTATTACTATTCTTAGTAATTAGTGCTTTAATACCTCCCACAAAAAATATCCAATTTATGGCGTTCAATGTGTTAATCATCGGTGTTGAACAACACGAACTATTCCATCAGTTTTATAAATGTTCTTTGGAAATAATTTCAGTAACGAATCCACCTACCAGAAAGATTGGCTCGGTGGCAGATATTGACCCTGTGAACGAATACTATGGATCGTTGACACCAGCCACGAACAACAATCACGTTCCACAGCATCAACCTCCTCCACCACCGCCAGCTAATGTTGGAGTAAGTGTTCTGAATGTCTACGTATAAGTAGAAAGAATTCTAAGAGACCACCTATTCGATTCTATCGTATTTCCATGGAGAGTGATTAAAGAAAATCCTTATGATTCTATTTGCAGAGAGTATACAGAGCAATGTACGACTACGAGGCGCAGGACCTCGACGAGGTGAGCTTCTGCGACGGCGATCTGATCATCAACTGCACGGCAATCGACGAAGGTTGGATGACGGGGCTAGTTCAACGTACAGGACGACACGGCATGTTGCCCGCGAACTATGTCGAGCCGGCGCAAATTTAAAATGCTTTCTTCCATACCCTGCCTGCGCGCCGTCGTCGTGTTCGTTTCACCTCGACTTTGTCTGTTCGGTGATCAGGCCACTTTTCATCGAAACGCTTCGAACGAAGAAAGTGGCGCAAAATGAAAAAGCGACACACTCGAAGAACTCGATCTAACCCAGAGAACTTCTCGGAGAGAAAAGAAAGGAAGAGACGACGAACGATTCTTTCCCATCCATCGCGTGCAATTGATGAAAAAAAGAATGTCGTTTCAACCGGTTCGCTACTTCGTCCAAAGATTTATATTTCAAAATAGCAATCAAATTTTTGTTTTAATGATAATTAGAAACAGGATTGTTTTATTTGGGTTTGGATATTGGCGATCGTAGCGAAAGGGTTGAACGAACAGGATGGATCGACGAGAAATTCTTCGTTATCTCGGTATACAGTAATTTGGGTACTGGCAACGAAGGATTTAATGAAATTCGAATTTATTATAAACTTCCACACCGAGTGAGTGCCTTGCATCGTTTCGCATTTAAGCAACTAGAAAGTAATTCCAAGTTGGGACCAAATTCTACTTCACCTCTTCCACGAGGAATATATTCACTATCCTTCCACTGATAACAATTTTTATGAATCTATCGATCAAACATAGCACACCATTCCGTTGCTTCGAGAATTCCACGAAGTTGTCTTGATAGTATGATAACAAGGACTGGAAGGTTCGATATTCGTCCTTATTGAAATATTATTATTTTCATTTTAATATAAGCATCTGTAGCATGGATCTTCTTTAACTTGTAAGAACACAGTGTTATTTTTTAGACAGAAATTTTTTTTACATTCATATGTTCTTTTCTTTTTAAGTAGAAATACTCTTTCAGTCTTTGTTCATCTTCTTGCTGGTGAACTCTTGAAGTTCATTACAATATTTATTTGTAAAACTGAATAGTGCTTCCAATATCTTGAACGTTAGGCTCGAACAGTATATCCAACGCATACACGTCTATTTTATATAATTGTGATTTTTAAAGGAGAAAATAACGATGTGCCTTACACGCGTGTTCACCTTTAATTAGGACAATCTTGTGTCGTGATTTAGAAAAATGAATATACACACTGCGTTCGCGGAATAATCGTGAAAGCGAGTCTAGTTAGGATAACACGACGAGGGAATGTAATATCGTTGATAAGAAAGTTTTCTTGCCTAGTTGCGAAAGAAAGTAACGAAAAGCATCGTTGGGAACCTTGATTCCCCCCTCTTTAAAGTTAATTAACGACATTAATCAACATTTACCTAATAGCTGTTAAGTTTTATCACGCGAGATTCGTTTAAATAATATGTTTCTTCGACTTTCTACGATCCTTTCAGTGCTGCAAATTATTACAATTCCTGCATAATAGAAAAAGAAGTTAATCATATTTGGAGATGCTCTTGCAATTAGCAACTCGTATTAATTGAGACTGTGAAAATTATTAAGAAGCATAGTTTGGAAGATATATTTTTAAACGATCTGCTTTCTTAATTTCATACACATTTTCGTAAATAGAACAGTACTGAAAGGATTCGATAGCTTTTATAATATTCAATATGAAATATTTCTTCGCGATGGTCTCGATCTTCTCGATTATTTTATACCCGCTCGATGTCCAATTAATGTACAGATAATATAGTGATCGCGGAAAAATTAATCGAGATCGTCGGATCGCTATTGCGAAGTATCTGAATTCTTTTATTCGAGTCATCCAGGTGTAATTCGTCACCCTTTTTATATTTTTGGTAACTATAGTTATAATTGAAAGTTTATCCGATAGAAATTGATTGCTAAAAATAAAATTATTACCTGTCAAGATTTTCTTACACCTAGAGGCCTGAATTCATAAGGAACTGGACCGTGAAAGTTTTAAGAGAATTTAAACGAACCCTTCTTGTTATATTCTTCTATATTCTGTGAAAAAAAAAAGAAATTTTGAACGGTTAAAAATCTGTGGTTCCTCGGATATCGTATCTGAATACATTGCATTTACCTGAGATGTGTGAACAGTTCTACTGCGAAAGGGCTGAGGATAATAAATAGTAATGTTGTTACGTAAAGCATTCACGCGACGTCGTAGTTCGACTTCGTGATAAAACCGCGAGAAGATATATTCATATTTTTGGAAACATGTTAGCATTATTATTATTATTATATTATTAATATTATTTCTCCTCTTTTTGTAATTATTAGAACCGCCAATAAGAATTTACGACTCACAATTGTGAAACATACAGAAATATATGTTAGCGTTGTTTAAACAGATAATATTATATTATGATTAACAGATCATAAACAATATGTTATGGAAATCGTTGCTTTCTAGTTATTATTATCCTTTCCTTGGTACTTTTTAGCGAAGGGGGTACAATTAATTCAAGTATAAAAAATGCACATTTATTGAGTGACATAAGTACAGTAAAAGGATAATGGTTTTAAAAGACCGATATCGCGACTGTTAAATGCAAATTTTTCATTTGGGTCCATATTAAACAGACTTGGGCAAAATTTCTGTCGACGTTTGAAAATTTCTTCCATTATTTATTTAATTAATACATAGGACCAGCACAAGGTTTAATGAATTCTGTACGAAAATTCATGCAATGATACACAGAATCGAATTTGAGAATCTTGGAAAAATCCACGCTAATAATGCCCAACTCTGACACGAAGTATCTCGTGATTAATTTTCTTTCTGGAAAATTTCAACACTACGTGCCGTTCCTAATCTTAGCAATTTTCTATCATTTTCTTTACCTCATCGTCCCTCAACTGCTGGGATTTCTCTCACGATATTATTGCAAAGGAACACGTATTGTTACATTGCAAATTTATTATCGGGGTGAAAATGAAAAGCTTCTAAATTTATTCAAAAGCAAAATCAGAAGATATCGCGTCGATATTCTAGCGTTTAACGTAATTTCAATCACTCACAAAATTGTACGAATTTCTCAAAAAGCGAAACAACACTCCATACAAAAGCTATTCGAAACACGTAGCAGTCTTGCAACATTACGAGACACAAAAGCAACGAAACAGTTCCGGCAATAATGCGCGAAATTAGATTAAAATTTCATCTATGGACCTCGTTATCTATCTAAATAGCGAAACATTTGTTCCCCTGAACTTTGGAATGTATTATAAATTTACAAGATTCTTGCTAAAAAATTTCTTTAATTTCATTTGCAATAAATGCTCGAAGCGGCTGTTCTCGATTTTCTATCGAATTTCGATGAACAATCGTCAGACTTTTATTCTTTATCAATACTCTAGCGATTTGGCTATCATTTGCACGTCTGACAAAGGAAATATATCCTTAAAAAATTTGCTAAATATTTTTTCGTATATCGTTTGGTGGAGTGTTAACCGGTTGATTATCTCTACGCGAGTGTCTGTTCAAATACGTTGAGATTGTGGATTCATTGGCACAAAGGAAAGCCTTTTTGGGTGATGAGCAGGTACGATACAAGCTGAATTTCACGGTAATTGGCAAAAGGTAAGAGATCCTGTGTGTACGTGGGAATGTAATGCAGAAGAGAATATGCCTACACAGCGATACAGCATCGATATTTAATTGAATGATCGTGAAAATTATCCAAGAGAAGTTAATTAGATAATTAGATTTGAACCTAATGAAAAATATGTATGGAATGATACCATGAATTTTATGAATCATAGGAAGAACAGAATAATTCTAAATTTTGTTAAATCATACCTCCTTAAAAAACATATGTAGAATATATAATATAAATAGTAAAAAAAAAACTAGTCGCAATCTTGTTCTTAATTATCTGGAAGCTCGAAACAAAATGAATTTTTCTTTTTTTTTGGGGAATGTAACTGGTTGGATTTGTCCAAAACCTGTATACGATAAATCTAAAAATTGATAAAGATCTATAAAACAGAGAGCTAGAAAAGAAAGGCCTTGAAAATAGCCTTAATTATTACAAATTTTGCGCAAACTATCGGACTCAAATCTACGTCCTGCTATTTAAATTTTCTATTTCTTACGTTATCTCAATCAATTCCTCTTTCTTCTCTCTCGTCTCTTTAAATAGAAATTAATATAAAAATTACCATAATCTTACTAAAGTGTCACAGCAGAGATGGCCGTACCAAGGATCAATGTCTCAATTCATCATTTCAAATTGCCATTGTTAATTCAATGATAGTCAGGATTTCCTTTTTCTTCGTTTCCTGATTATTTGGCTAGATAGAAGAATTTCAAAGGAAAGGTAGAAAATAATGAAATTAATAGAAAAATCTATGAAACAGACTACTTCGAATATCCATCGAGCGTTTGACGCTGTGTAGGTGTCGCAGAGGAGACGCCTGGCGTCGCATCCTCTTCGTCCTGATCGAGAAAACCAATGCTCTTCGTTTCGGGCGTCGTGCGATGAAGGGTCTGCGTGCTGGCAGTGTCTCTTAACGTAGCGTGATCTGTCCTTTGTTTTTCTTTCATTTCTCGGTTTAAATAACATATAATATGTTTATACGCGTGTACGTGGCTGCTAATATCCGGCCAGGTCGGCGAACGTCTGATCCATCTCGTCGGCGATCGCTTTGTACTTACAGCGCTCGTTTACCACCACGTCTGCAACGCAAAAAAGGAAGGGAACAAGGTATTAGTCGGATGTGGTGTTAGAGAGATTGACGTAACCAGGGGTCAGGGTGGGCTTGACCATTCCGAAACGAGGACTGGTCCCCCTTGACAAAAATAAAGGCTATAATAAAATTAAACAACACCGGTGAAGCAATGAGACCTGGCCCCCACCTTGGAAAAAATCCTAGTTACGTCAATTAGATGCCCAATTAACAGTACCACCTGAATTAGTTTGATTAGAAAGAGAGAGAGTGTTATTTCAATTCAGTCGAGGGAGTCTTGGTTGATTCAACTTAAGGTTTAACGTGGGTACAGTAAAAGTTCGATGACTGTTTCATTAGTTGATTAGTGATCAGGTCTCGGGAAGAATGCAGAACGCTGAAGGGTGGTTCTGGAAAAAAGAAACTTTGCTGTAATTTCTTTGTATCTTTATTTCAACTCGTGAATACCTAAATGATTTTTAATAATACAGTATCGTAGTATGGTTGTCGACATACAAGTAATAGAAAAAGAGAAGACCGTTTTTGATTTCTGTATAGGGTTCAATCTTTTATTCGCCTGGTTTACAAACAAATCGACGATGCGATTACTTACCGAAACAACAGGTGAATTATTGCGAAAGGAAGAAAATAGAAAATTATGTGCTGTTTAAAAAAAGGAAAAGAAAAACAGAAATGATATAGGCAAGAGAAGCTGGAAAATAAGGGTTGTTTGTCGACGAATTAAAAAGAAAAGAAAGGAAATTGATTAGGAACGCGGAACGTAGTTCGATACGATAAATTACACGTAAATAACAAATTGGCTAAATTTGTTTTTGAACCATGATTTTTTACGCATATCTGGTTTAGCGTTTCTTGGTGACATTGAATGCCCAATTAACTTGGACAGCCGATGGACACGTACGATCGCCGGCTATCAATTAATTCTTCTCGATCAACTCGGTGAAGGTGAGGTCCAGGTCGTCGCAGATGTATTTGTACTTTTCCTTCTCGTGTACAAGCTCGTCTGAAATGAAAACGGTGTATATTAGAATAATTAAAAATTAATATACCGATTGTACCACTGTTACCCTTAACAAATAAGATTTCGTAGAATCCCTTCACCGTTTTGTATTAAAAAATGAAAATGATTCGTCGATGAAAATGTTCGTTCTTTAACTCCTTACGTGAAACCAAAAATAAAAGAAATATACAACTCTTTTGCTAATAATAATTAAACGAAATTAATGTCTGACAACGAACTGATATTCTTACTGCGAAAAAACCACCCTTAGAATTCTAAATTTTCCTCTCAAAAAATTCAGTGTAAGGAGTGAAAGTGAAAAATGCAAAAATGATGTAAAAGAAATAGAAAAATGATTTTTCGCAAGTAGAAGAGCTGTTAGCAGTTTAGCAGCCAAGTAAGTGGGTTAAGGATGCTCGCAAGTAACTTACGGATTACGCGTGTTAAGAGCAAGCGAGATTGTGAGAAAGGTATCTGTATGATATATATTTTTTTTTGGTCGAAGAAGCGTTAGAGGGGTTGGTTAGTGGCTCGTTAGACTCCATAGAGTTCCATGAATGCCTGATCCAAGCCATCTCCGATCTCCTTGTATTTCTCCTTCTCAGCCACCATTTCATCTGCAAGCATTCTCAATGTTATTCGAAGAACGTTCGTACTCTCTTCGATAGACTGTCTTACTCCTGTTCGAGTAGATTTAGCAAGATTTAAGCATTGAATATGGTTAATCTGTATCAGTATAAGCTGTCAAGGATCTTTGAAGCGTGGACAGGAAGCGGAGTTTGAAGCAGATTGATAGTTTTGGGGGGCTGATGAGTGGAAGCCTTTGTTTAGTTCTGATGAATTAAATTGATGTGTCTGTGCGTTATGATATTGTTCGAGTTACGATGAAATGAATATTTTTTTAAACGAAGAATAAAATGATTTTTAAATACCTTCCATCGTACAGATTTAGTTCCTAGACTAGATTTACTAATTTCTAGACTAATTACTAAATCCTTAAATTTTTCTAATCAGTGATTCGAAAGAATTGAGGGAGCATAAAATAGAAAAATATTCTGAAAATACAAATTCAGTGTTTCAAATACAATTTCTTGGTATCTTTAAAAATAATAAAGATACATGGTCTGATCCTATGTAAACTAAAAGGGGAAAGGGGTCATGCAAAGCAAAAGGACTCTGAAGGATTTCTCGTAAAAATAACATAGAAAAAATATACAAGCAAAATGTACTCACCATTTTTCTTTGATACGTACCCCACTGATGGTCTTCCGGTACATCTTGTGGGGCATGCAACAGCTATACGCACACTCACGCATACACACAACACACACAGCTCTCTAACACATGTTGGCAGCGTGTGTTATCGCGTAGACACAACGGAGTTAACAAATCCAGTATTAATTATTAGACGAAAAACAAAACACGCAACAACAAAAACAAACACGCAGTAGTTTTTTTTTTCAAAATTAAAATATATATTATAAACAGTTTTATAATAATAGCAATATATATATATAATAATAATCATTATCATTACAATGATATTAGTGTTATTTTATCGTTCCATTCGTTTTTTGTATTAATATTAAGTAAATTAATAAACTAAAAAACTCAAGTGTAAACCCAAGTGATTTGAGTGTTTCCTATCTTTCCATAGTTTTTCGTTTTCCTCTCGCGGCATTCGTCGGGAAAAACGGGAATAACAAAAAATTTTCATAAATCGTTATTAACGGCGTAGGACACGTGGACTCCTAATTATTGTGCTTTCTTCATTTCTCGTAATCACACTATCTATATCTCTCTCTCTCGCATACTTACACACTTTATATACCTTTCTCTCTGTCTCTATCACTCGATTAATCGTAATAATTAATTTCCGTTCGGAGGATACGTATGTCTCTCTTCGGGTGTCTTTCAATAATCTCGCCTTTATCGAACCAGAAAAATTTCATGAAATTTTGCGAAGTGCTCAAGAAAATTAAGAAACGACATCATTTCTCGATGTTAAATAAATATTGCACAAAAGCATGCTTGGAATGTTGTGAAAGACCAGCAAGATCCTTTAATTGGAAAAATACCCAAAAGAGGACAATGTTGCAAGGATAATCGCTACAGGGACGAAACGCGTCTATTATCAGGCAGTTTGCACGCCTCGTCTCGATTCGGGGCGCGTTTTACAGCAATAAAGAGGAGAGATGTTTCGCGGGATATCAAATTATAATCCATCCAACGAGACGAGACATTAAATGTGTATAAATTCACTCGAAGCGTTCGAAGCAGGCTCGGGTCAGAGTACACAAACCACGACCGAACCGTTTGAAGAACTGGAAACAACTGAGCCCGACCCTGCGTGGAACGCATGAATTTGTAAACACATCCTGACTCGTCTCGTTGGACGGATTATAATGCAAGACGAAGGTGTACATCGCGAAATGAAAGTCCTTTGTCCCTTTCTTTCCTTCTTTTTTTTTTTAATTTAAGCGACGAATATGTGGAGGCACGATTGGTAAACGTTGAATGAACGCAAAACACGTGTTTCGCTCGTTCGCATTCAATTTCTGCGTTTATTTTGGTGGAGGTTCACCTCTTAGGAATATTCTCCTGAATTAGCCCTTTAATTATGGAAGCATGTGTTTTAATTAACTACACTCTTTCTTTTAAATCGTCGAGGATTAGTTGGAATTTTGGATTTCAGGAGGTTTCTTCCTTGAAAGGGTTCTCCGTCTGGCAGTGAGCGTTTGAGATTATCACGAATCAGCAAACGAGCGTGGAAGAGGGTAGAAAATATTATTTGTCTGGCGAACACACGATGTTATTATTTTAAAGCCTGTTTGCTACGTCCTTTATTCGCAGGATTAGTAATTGAGAAGTCACTTTCGTTAATCATCGATCCAATTAACACCTTCACAGCCGACGAATTCGAAAGATTAAAAGAACGCGATAAAAATCATTGAAATTTCAATAAATAATTCCTATCAATTCTATAAATGTTATTTGATTATCCAACTTTCGATTCGTGAAAGGGTTAACAATATAATCGAACATAGTATTACCATCGAAGGCTATGAAATTGTTAAAAGTGTTCACAATACCAAACGGCATTACAAAAAGTAAAAAAGAATAAAGGAAAAAAAAACCACAAATTATTTCCAGACATCAAACAGAAAACTTCAAAATATAAAGAGAAACAAAAAAAAAAAAGAGAAAAGAAAATACAAGACTTGTCGTTCCTTTGATAAAACCGCACACCAATCCTACCTTTCTACCACCCCCTTCGTCATTATCTTCTCCGTCGATCTTCGCTTTTATATATATCTCTCTCTCTTTTCAATTTAACGCGTTTTAGAACACATGCATGCAAGAAACACACGTATACACGCACACAGGCGATAAAGAAGCGCTGAAAATTGGGCGCTTGGTTTGATGGAGCGTTTACAATGGGAGATATGAGTTGTCTAGCCTAAAAAGAGACCGCACGATTGTTGTATTCATTTTTTTTTTCCGGTTGTTGTCCGTTAAATGTTAATGGTGTGCACCACAACAACACACAAGAAAAGCGCTCGAGTTGCACAGCGTTTTCAGCTTTTTCTTTTTCATTTTATTATCATCCCTCCCCAGCTCTTATCATCTATATCTCATCGACACGTTTGCGTGCCTATCATTTTTCCTCCCTTTTATGCTTTTCTACGTTGTCTTTTAGTCGCTGCTGTTGTTGTTCTACTCCGAAACGTATTTTCATTCGAATTTCGTGGTGTATATGCTTTTGTTATATCGCGTTTCGTGTATCTGTCCGCCCACGAGACGCGATCTACATGTTCTGGATGTCATGCAGGGTGGCCTCCATCTCCTCCTGGAGCAATTTGTTTTTCTCTCTCTCAGCGGCAAGGTCGTCTGGAAAGATTACTGGTTAGAGGGAGGCTGTACACCGCGTAATCAGCCACTATCGACTCTTGTCGAGGGTTCGAAAGAGACCACGACAGGGTAACGTAAGATACATGACAGACGGCACACGCCAAGAACTCCTTGCTTTTTTATAGGTCATCGTGTTCGATGCTGTTAGGGTATTTCATTTTTAACACTGGGTTTTTGATTTTTTTTTTTTCTGGTTTTGGTGAACGACAGACGTGATCTTCTCGTAGGGAGAAAAAGAAAGCATTGATTTTGAAAATTATTATCTTGAGGAGTATTAAAAGTAGATCGATGTTTTGTTCTGTTTCTTCCTAGAGAATAGAAATGTGGATGAAATGTTGGAAATAAAATTTACATCTGAACCAATTCTGAAATGACTGTCGTGCAGAATTTTGTTAATACACAAGCGCACTCAGAGCAAACGGGGTTGTAAATTCAAAACAAAGGTATGTTACGATTGTAAAACGGTGATGAACGAGTTTTTGATTGAATAGTCTTACTTTTCAATAATCTGCTCCCTTTGCAAATCTCTCTCTCTTTCTTTCTTAATCTAACGAATATCGTAATCTCTAATGCTAGAATCAAACTGAGCTAAAGTAATTAATGAAAGAAAATGAAATAAATTTCTGGATGTTTAATAAACTGAAGGTCTCCATTAAGATAATTCGCGAACGATGGTACGCGAAACGAATAAAAATGCCTGATGAATACGCACCTTCGAGCCTGTCGACCTCCTTCTGCAATTTCTGCACGGATCTCTCCGCGAACTCAGCGCGAGCTTCGGCCTATGATAACAGGAAGAAGACGTGTAAATATTTATAAATCATTATACGTAATCATGTGATTTGTCGTCGATTTTAAAATTTCTATATAGACAGAGCAATTTCGTGCACAATTTGGACATAATTTACAGAGGCATATTACGCATATGTAAATCAAGTTCAAATTCAAATTAAATAATAATTTATTAACTTTCTTTTAATATTCTTTTAAAATCGACGGATTCAATCTCTGTATTAGTGAAACTCAACTCCATGCCATTATTTTATATTCAACGAATAATTTAGTACATAATAATATTAGTCCATTATAAACACAAGTATAGTCTCTATCGTTAATTGAATTTTAAACACATGAAATGGAACGCTCAAACACGCTCGTACCTTATTACGTGAAATTACTCGACACAGATATCCTTTCATGGTTCATGGACCATTTAATTAATCGAATCAGACCGTTAACAAAGTTTCCTTCCCGTGATTATACTTCGCATTGGTACTTATGCGTAATATTATGTAAAATTGATGTGTGACTGAAGAATAGAAAAAATAGTGTACAATAAAAGAGGAAAATACCGGTGCAAAAAGAACAATGTGACTAATTGATGTACAAATAATAAAGCAAAATATGTATAAGTGAAAAATAAAATAAAATCGTGATGTTACAAAATACGTGTATAACGAAAGAGAAAGTAGACTGATTCTATGAAAATTTTGTACAGAAACTTTCATATTAAACATTTCCTCGAAGTTCCTACTTCCGGTTCGATCATCGCTTACCTCTTTCAATTGACTATCCAGAATCTTCACCTGTCCCACGAAAGTCTCCTCTCTTTGCGTCGCCTGTGTTTAGTCAAGCGTAAAAAAAAAGAGAAAAAGACGAGCTTACGTTAGGTTTGCAAACTTAAAAAAAAAAGATACATTCAAAGAAAGAAAGTGGAGGAGGGGGTCGGTGATGAACGAGCTGTTAATGATTTTTAAGTGAGAAGGAAAACGACGGATGTAATTTTCGCGACGACAAATCACAAACACTCTTTGCAAACTAATTAGATGCAAAATAAAAAACACTGTCAAAGGATCTGTACCTCCTTTAGACGAGAGGTAAGGGTCTTAATTTGGTTCTTGTACTCCTCCTCGCGCTGGTTGGCCTATGGTTCAAGCAACGTGCGAAGATTATTCGAATGTTGAGAGAAAATTTCACGTGTTCATCCATCAACTCCCGTGTTCACGCTTTTATTACTCCTTTAACCACACTCGTTCCTCTCTTTTACAACGAGTGACACGAGCAAAAACCCTGCTGTCGCCAACTGATTTCGAATCACCGTGAAAAATCACCGGAACTATTTCACGCGTCGCTAGAGACGCGTTTTTCTTCCTTCGATTTCGTCTCGTCATACTACTTTCGCGACACGCGATTTTCTTCAAGATTCTTCTGAAGATTTCGCGACGAACAAATCGAGACGTCAACGCGATTGCCGCTTCAATTATTCAACCCTTTGATGACTCGAACATACAGTTGATGAAAAATTAAAAGGAAATTGAACTAAAAATTCTCTTTCGTCAGCGAAAACAATTCTAACACGATCATCGCGACAACAGAGTAGAAATTTTTTAAAAGAAAAAGGTAACCCGTATTTGTGGCGGTTCTTACGAGAAATGAATTCGAAAGGGGAAAGAGAAAGTGAACAGGTATATATATATATATTTCGAGATTTTATAGGTACTTTTTGTACTGCAAATCGTTCCAGATACTTACCTTCTCCTCAGAGACCTCGAGGGACTTCAAGTTGTTGCCAACCACGCGCAGTTCCTCTTCAAGTTCGACGATCTTCCTGCAAAACGAGGCAATGGTTAGCAATGGACGGAGATGGTACTTTCGATTCCTACCTGAAGTGTTTTCTTTATTTATTTTTGGGACGATGAACAGCTGGTCGTTTTTATTTTATTGCGATATTAATTGAACTCGATAAATTAAGAAGTCATTAGAGACTTGGGTGTAAGAGAATAATTTTATTTAAAAGGTGATTTTTTGTAGAGGGCTACTAAATAGAAGAATTTTTAAGAAACTAATAGAAAATGGAATAATTTTCAAATAATTTAGTAAAGATATTGATAGATGAATTCTTATAATTAATTATAATTGGTAATTGAACAAATTTATATTGACCAGCGTTCATTTTTGTTAAACAAGCGTAAAAGTTGAAGGATGAAAAATAGAAGGAACAATTCATGCACAAACTGAACCACCTACCCTTCCGAAAGTTCAGCCTTCTCTTCGGCACGCTCGAGATCCTGTTCCATCATGACTAGTTTTCTGGCAACCTGTGATCAACAGCCACACGTGTCATGCGACAAAGCAAGGATGTAAGGGCTTACAACGAAAGAAATAAAAAAAAAAAATAAAAAAGAATATGTATGTTATGAACGCATGCAAAACGTCTTCTCCATCCTCGGTCGATCTGCACGCCTTCTGCTACGTAATTTGAAATTCGATGAAATGAACATTCCTAAAAACCTGTTCTCTCATCCAACAGAATAAAACGAATCGGTAAACATACAAATATAAAACATGGTAAAATCATGATAATGATCACTTTTATTACCGTTTCATTCTGTTGGATAAAGGATGACGGAGGAGATCTCAGTCAAGAATCAAAAGTAATTTCGGAATTTTAAATAATAAACTTTCTAAGTAAATAAAATTATTTTATGACTCAGATTTCCCCTTTGCACAAATGAATTTAAAAAAAAGGTTATAAAACTAGTAACAACCCTAAAGGGTTCGCAAAAGAAAACGATGGCAAACTGAAAAAAGAAACACACATAACAAGGAACGAGTGTTAGATGACACTTTCACACGTGGTTCAGTTATCGTCAGTAACGAACAGGTAACACACGATGGGTGTGTGTATCGTGCCCTGGTGACGCGACAGGTGATTACAATGTGTGACGGAGAAAGGGGAAAGAAACTCGCTTGCGGGCAATCGATTTGGTTAATGCTCAAAAAAGGATGCCTGCTGTTTAAAAACGGATGCTTACGACTCTCCGGCCTCGGCACGCTCTTCAGCACGTTCTAGATCGGCCTCAACCATGGCCAATTTACGGGCGACCTGTATAAACCACACATACACACGGTTTCACCTTATGTTCCCTTTGTATCTGACAACCCACCCTAAGTTGTACACACGGCGTCCCATAATATGACATAAATCGCTTCTGATTGAATTTCAGTACTTGGAAACAATTCAAATAGTTAAGTAGAAAATAAGAATTATTAAAAATAATTTTTCAAATAATAATCGTTTGAATATCTATATGAACTAGATTTGATATAAGTGGAAAATAAGGAAAAATAAAGACTATATTTCTCAAGTGATAAATCCATCTCAAAAATAATTCCATTTATTATGAGACTCCTTGTATACCTCAATCTCTTTTGTTTCTTTGGCTCGCCGTCATCTGGGCCAAGATCGACGATCTCTGGTCGTCGATCCACGGCCAAGATCGGTGATTTCGCGATGACTTTGCTCTACGACTGAAAATGTTTGCCCCTGGAAGACGTTCTACTTCCTTTTGCGTCTGTTCAACTTCCTTTTCCATCGCTCTTGCTCGACTAACCGGTCTTTACTACGGTTTTTACTACGTTCGAACCTGGTCACGATGATTAGAAACAAATTTGGATTCGAGCACCGTTCGAAGATGATTCAGAGGAAATATTCGTTTTGCAAAATTTATCGCACGATTAATCCGATGTTCTATTTTCAAATAAATCTGGCACGACGTACCACGGGCTCGGATATTATTATTTCAAAAGAGAAACGCCCACTATCCTTGACCAAGTGAAACGAATTCGAAGGAGCCAGAGAGACGGAACGACGAAGCTACTTAAATCATTTTTATTCCTTCGCAAATATTCTCTAGCTACTCGTCTCGCTCGGTTAAAGGGTTAATAATATTCCGCGCTCTACCGTGCATCCCATTCGCGATGGAATCGCAAATATCGAGCCAACGGAATACCAACTGCGAAGAGAATCGAAAGAATTTATTTTAATAAAATATTCTAATAATTTTTTATTGAACTCTGTTAGAGTAAAAGGGTTCACCCATTGTATAAACCGATCAGTTTCGTGAACGACACCGAAAACGGAACAATACCATTTCGTGACCAGTTGCCGAGCACGTTCGGACAATCTCCATCGAGCAAACTTCCAGTCGTAGAACGCGTTTCGTGAGGAAAAGAAGCGAACCGATAAGAACGGAAGCGAGAAATGCTCGGTTCGCGCTCGTCGATCGGCACGAATCGATGCAACACACACGAGCTGTTCAGGCCACCGTAGAGATCGATGGTAAAATAAAAGTTGGATCAACAGATCGCTGCTGGAATGTACCTTTCGTTCGTCTCTACGACGACCTTTAGTTCTACGCATGCAATCACTCTCACTCTCGTGTGTAAACGTGACGCAACCCTTTAGCAAAGATGATTAGCAAAGATATGAAATAAATTTTGTTTAACCCTTCCATGGAAAACGATGAACATTCGTACTAATATTAATGAGGTAAATTTAGACGAAATTCTTGGTTCGACGAGGGATTTGCGTAACGCTTAGACATTTCAAGAACAGGAGGGTCAACGATAAGCGATTACTGTCGTTAAGAGAAAACGGAAAGAACGAATAATCGTGACACTCGGTTAGCCTCGCCTCTCGTTGCTCTCGAGCTTCTGTAATAATTGTTAGGAAGTAGTTAGATCGTGTTAGGATAAGCGAAGAGACTTTGTATGAATTAGAAAACACTCTGACACGATGTCACTGCAATCAAATGTTAATGAACAACTGCAAACAATTGTTAGTCGTCATACTAAGTGTTAACGTGATTCCTGGTGATATATTTTTTTATAACTTTGCTCGTTAAGGGGATAGGACACGTTGCTAGGTGGAAATTACAACGATGGTTTCCTGTGTTGGATATGATTTACATCTGAAAACTTTAACAGGTTTGCTGTCGCTTAATATTTGCAACAGCAAACTTGTGTTAAGTATTTTTATTTGACGAGAGAATTAACACTAGAACTACAAAAGGGGTAAAAATGAGTGATTTCCAGTTTGTTACTTTAAATTATAAATTTTATCGAGATGATTTTGTTGTAATGTTATATTGGCTGTTATCAAGCTAAAGAATGAATATTAAATTATGCTTCATTTTTTATATATTTAATAATCTACATTATTTTCAACTTAAAAATAAGTATGAATCAAACGTCGGTAGTTCTAGTGTTAATGATCCTTGCAATTTCCAAGTAGCCGCGCGACAACCACCTACCATAACAGATGGACGGATTTTCATAGCTACGATTACGTTCCGAATTCCAGAGCTAAGACGATTCAAAAATGAAAAGGGAGGTGGTTCTTTGGACAAAAGCAGCACCATTTCATCGCGACGAGACTCGAACGATAATCTCGTTCGTATCACAACACAGAGTGTAAAACCATATACATTATTTGCGATGCCAGTTTCCGGTTTTACGAACCGAAACAATACGCGGACCCAACAACCACGTCCACCCTGATTCGCGGCATGATTTTGCTAAACTAAATCTTTCTTATTTTAGAAACTGGCACTTGAAACTTATTTGTCGTTTTTACTCCAACAAACACTTATTTTTTTTTCTTTTTTTTTTTGGAAATCACAGATTAAATCGCGGTCAAAACACGTGACACTGATGTTACATATCCGTACATGTATCACCACTATTTTCTTTTCTCTTTTTTTTTTCGTTATTCCCGAACTTCTCTCTTTTTTTATTGTAAAAGCCGCGAGGAGAGCCACTGCACTTCTCTTACCCGTTTGTTAATCACTTTTCTACTCGATGTAATCACAGACGACCGATCTGGTATCATATTCAAAGCACTTTTATCGAACTAAATCCATCAACTCTTTTTTTTTCTATTATCAAATTTTTCTAGAGGCAATATTTCTTAATCGGGAACGCGTTAGAAATTCGAACAAAGGATCGATCGATAAATCGAACGATTGATTTTTGATTAACTCGAAAGATAGACAGGTATGGTGTACCGTGGCAGGTGTCACGGTGGTATTTCGAGCACACAAAGAGAAGACAGAGAGTTACGGGGTTAGGCACTATCTCGACTATCAACTAGGAACCATCGTCATCGTTATTATCATCGTTATTTTTATCATGATCATCGTCACTGCAGCCATCACGCTTGACAGTCGTGGGCTCGCGAACCTCATCGTATTTCTTGTCAGCTTCTTCAGCGAGGAACCTGGCCTCCTTCAGCTGATTTTCGAGGGCGTCCATGCGCTCTTCATCGGCCAAGCTGCGATTCTCGAGAATCTTGCGGGCTCTTTAATAATTACCACAAAGAATCGGGATTAACATACTTCGGGAATAAATAAATCGATCGTGATGATGAATATCTATGTTACATTATCGCCATACTCGTCCTGCGAGGACGAGAATTCGATGGGGAACTGGTCGACCGCACTGCTCACCTGCTACCTGCTCGAAACCTGATTCCTGGAAGGATTTTACCTGCAACAATGAATTTCTGATCCATCCTGACAAACCTAAGTCTTCTTAAGAAATTTGGGGAATTTCTATTCTGGTTTTTGCATTCGAAGTTCGACAGAAAAAGGGCAAGGTAATCGGGGAAAATTTAAGAAAGGAACCACGGTCCGTCGGAATGGCTAGAAATTCACCGTCGAAGGGATAGAAAAGATTTTCTTTTCAGTTTCGCTGGTACATGACCCACCTCCTCGTATTTTTTGTCCGCCTCCTCGGCGATCACTTTAGCGTGTGCTAGTTGCTGCTCCAACAAGGATACCCGGTCATCTTCCATATTGGTACGGTTTTCAAGTGCCTTGCGTATCCTAGCGATCGATTATCATTCGATTTTTAGCTTCGATTTGATCGCCGTTGAAAGAAAGATCATCGACATACCGAAAGAATATGTTTCGCGACCCTACTATAATTACCTTCATTTTTCAAACACCATTATCCTTTCGTCATTTTTTTAAATAAATAATCTACTTTGGACTTTTATACGAATTGAAAAAATAATAATAATTGATACTATTTAAATCCCTTTTGCAGAAAATTATTAATTTCTATAGTTTTTTAAATAAATTTCTTCCAAGACGAATAAAAGTATAATTCTTCAACAGCATGTAACTTGTGCAATATCTGCGAACTCTCCGCTCTTATCACGCTCGTACCACGACAAAGTACCGCAAACGTGTTATCATCTTATCAAACCGCGATATGATCTATCCGCCATTTCAATGCGTTCGCGATTCAATTCAACGTAGAGATCCAAATTCGTTGTGGAACTTGAGAATCACTACTTCGACGATCGATAAACTGTTATCGAGACAAACAACAATTGAGCGGAGAATTCCGGGAAAGTAATCTCGAAGTTCTTTCAACGTCGAAAGGTTAGTCCTATCGATAATGCAATGTTCTTCAAACGTCAATTGATGATCGAGAGAAAGAGCGAGCAGTATAATCAATACACGTCATTTTTTCTAAAGATAAATCTCATGGATCATTGCATTCGATTAACTATGATAAAATTGAGAGTTATATCGTTTAAGGACTTATGGCTATTTAGGAATTCCCAAATTTTTAATTTTTCATATTTTCTTTAAATACGATACTTTGTATTAAAATTGTGCAAAAGTTGACAAATTGAAACGAGCATTTATAGGTGTCAATAATAGTAAACAAGTTAACTACACGATTTCCTGATACATGTTAATGACTGAACACCCACTTCATGAAATTACTATAATAACTGCTCTGCCAGCTATCTTACGCTTCCACGATACCTGTAATTACGCCTGCGAGCATGTTCGATCGTTAGATAAATAGAATTCGTTCAGCTTTGCATTCGGTGCACTATTAATTGTGAAACATTACAATGCAGTATTGTACGAACGTTTATAAATAGAACTGAATGGATAATGCGTATTTTTTGGGGCTGCTCGCTCTTTCGACTCCATTTCTATGAATATCATTGTTAATTTTGAGCATCGTACGACTTTTGTTAAGGAAAAATTCATTATTGTAAAGGAATTTTGACATTCTTTATGCAAATGAAATAATTTTTGATTATGATAATCTATGATAGTTGGTGTGATTTACACTTCCTTTACAATATTTTGATCCATCAAATCGAATAAATACCAGCCCCTATTACCTCGAAAGAAACTTTCCTCAATTAAATTCCTTTTCATTCACCCCTTTTTTCCCATGAAAGATTACACGTCCAACGATTTCAACCCGATCCGATCATTATGAATCAAACTTTCACTGAATCGATAAAATCGTACACAAGAAAGGCTATTATCTACCCCATTGAGAAATACAGCAGCCTCTTTTATAAATATCCGTTCAACGATGCAATTTAACGTACTTTCGCGTGGAGGATAGCGTGACGGATATTTATAAGATATGCGTGGACGTACGATGCTCGTCATCCAGAGGAAACGTATAAAAATTTGGTGCATCGTTTACCGTTCGCTCTCATCCGCAGCCTGCGACGCCTCTGCTAATTTAGCAGTGGCAGTAGCCAGGCGTTCCTCGGATCTCTCGAGATCCTCCTCCAACAATTGGATACGACGATTCAGAGCGGCTACTTCGGACTCAGCCTGTAACAAAAAGTAGAAAATAATTTTAGTGTGATAAAAATAACACTTTTCATGATCTAAATTCTCTACGTTGAGTAACTGCAATTACTCTTAACAGTGCAGGGAATTAAAATGATTGCAATCACGAAACGATGTATTTAAAATGAAACAGAAAGAAATTAAGATTCATAGGAAATAAAATAGGAGAGCGAATCAAGGTCTTCGCTTCGCTCGCATATCAATGACCTATGCATCCTCGAGAGTCTCGCGTGCTTATTGCATCAACCGATTTAATTGAACAGATCACCAATTTTCGCAGCATCTGCTCTGTGCGCTCTGTTCTCGAAAGAGGAACGTTTGTCACGATCGTAAACAGCAGCTAAACATGCGTATTCGTATTCAATTAAAAGCACGGCTTAACGCGACGCGGATCGAATATGTCTTGCATGAAACCCGATTCCGAATAATCTCGGTTAATTAAATTCATACGGGTTTCTATTCCACACTATGACGTGATCTCATGGAAGAACGACCATGCTTTCTTTACAGATCTAACTATTATTCGTTCATAGAATTTCTGTATAACAAACCGAAGGATGTTGCTAATGAATTTTGATGATAACAACTTAATTAGGCGTACACTGCATGAAATCGAGGATTTTTGTAATTAGGCTGCGTTTTAATCGCTGTATCTTTGTTGGAAATAATGATGATTAACTAGTTATTTATAATGATTATGTACCACCATTTAATTTGAACCGATAACAGCTGATTGCGGCGAAATGCTATTTTCATGTTTGTTTTGTTTAATTACAATGATAATATCATTTACTTTTGCGTTATCAAACAAAACTTATCAAATGCCACGAGTTAAAAATTTCATGTCTTCAAATGAGAACGAAGGAAATGAATGAAAATAAAGATAAAAATGATCCACGAAACGCAAGGGTTAATCAAATGATTCCTTAATTAAGACACGGAATTGAAAGTGGTTGTAAAAAATAGTCTCGTGGATGCGTTACGTCAAACGAAACGAACCATGCGCCTTTACAAATGTAAATTACTTAACGCTCGATTACGCGTGTATTCGTACACTCGGCAATTCCAGGCCCTTGTCCTCGTTACCAGCTGCACCTGCGCCGATTGTGTACCGAGCGGATAAATCCTAATTCATCGCGCGAGTACTATGCTTTCATGCACGTGGTGCTCTTCATCATCCACGCATCAACTTCGCATCCGGATAATTCGACACGCCCGCGTTCTTGCTCGCGCGATGACGCGCGAAAAACGAACGCTAAGCACTCTCCACGATGACTAATTCGATGATGATTATCTTATCTAGCGGCGAAATACTTTCAGCGCATTTTTTACCGTCTCATAATCAAAAGTTTATCATTCGGTAGCTAAATTAAATGAATCGATGGAATCATACGATTGATGTATATCATATAACTGGGCTAAACACAACTCTAAATTTTGAAAAGATAGATAAACATGTCATTAAAGAAAATTAAATTGGTACCGAAAGTGGAAGTATTTCAAAGATTCCTAGGTCAGTTTCATTTTTTCAAATGGAACTGTATATTTTTGAAAATGTCTATTGGTATACTGTATCATGCTCTACAAAAAAGTGTTAAGGTACTTGGGTCGAAAATTAATTACTTCAAAAGTTATCTTAGGGAGATGAAGGTCTCTCCCTAAGATAACTATTGAACTAATCAATTTTCGACCCAAATACCTCAACACTTTTTTGTAGAGGATAAAAAGACGCTTCGATTGACAGCAAAAGAAATACGTATCTCCAAAAAAATTTTTTTTATTCTCTGGAACATTTTAACTCATCATACGCTATACTTTCGGTCCCGTGTCTTCGTCACGATCAATTACCATATATCAATCGTACAATGTATTTAGAGGAAATCGACACGCCCACGCACACTGGCGAACAGGTAATGTTGGTAAGTATGCCAAACTTCCGGTAACGATCACCCTCCGTTGCCTCCAGTGCGTTCCGTTAATTCGACACGATATACAACTATCGTTCGTGAATTATTCGACGAATCTTACTATCAGAAATTTCGGAGAAATTCGATGTACGTAAGTCTGACTTTCTTTTTCTTAAGCAAGATAAAATAGATAAGACGAAGTTCGTGAATTTTCGGCAATGAATGTCATTGCAAACAGTGTTATTAAGAGCGAAGCAACAATTTACATCGAAACGCGACGATATTTAAACGTTTATTAATAAATCTGCCCTCGGTATGGGGGCAATCGATGATCCATTATGTAAATTGTTCAATAGAGACGGCCACGTGCTGTGTCGTACGTAAGATCACTTTCACGGTTCGCGCTAATTCTGTCTCTGCCTCGGAAATCAATGAACCGAACACGTCTGTGAGCCGTGGGTGAATCGTTACTGGAAACAATGTGAACGATACGGGACGTATCGTCGGTTATCATCTAGTTCTATAAGACGAAAGAGTAGGAAGAAAAAAGTAGATCATAGAACGGCAGTACACTTCATTGCTCGGTGACAAAAGCTTGTTAGTGAAGCTTCAATGAGCTTCTATCCATTGGCCTTTTAGGACGCATGTAACCACCATAAAGGTACACTGTATCCACGGGATACAGTGACATTTTTCTGAATTATTGCCAAGGTTGAAAAATCGTTGGGTAATCGGTAGGAAAATGGTTTCTGTTGGTGGCTGCCGATAATCTCATGGTATTCTGATTCCAATAAATTAATTTTAACCCATTTGCTACCACGATCCCCAAATGGCGATTTGAATACATATATAATTTTTTAATCACTTGCAATAGGATTATATTAAATAAAATGTTAAATAAAAATGTCAAAACTAAAATTTGGTAGCTAATGGGTTAAAACAATTACCAGTGGATCGCCATAAGATTATCTGAACGGTGTCCCGTTTTTTCCCCCAACAAACTCATTCCATAGAATGGCACGCAATGCGCTAAGAACCGTCTCGGTTACTTCATTAATCGATAATTTCTCGGTAGCTTGCCACCGTAGACGAACAGGATATTAAAGTCTACGACAAGGTTTCCTAGACACCGGGGGTTAAAAAGGTCCCGAGAAGAAAAATATATTTCGATATCAACCTTGAGTCGACTTTAAAATGTCACTCGTGTAAATAACAGCGACGATGCGTAGAAATGGTCGGCAAAATACGTTGTTCTAAAAAAGGAACAACAATTTCGGATGCGTAAGCACGCCTCGACGCATCGTCATCGTACTCGAATTTCCCTAGGACAGACGTTCGACGTCAGAATTTCAACGATTCGCATATTGACGTCCTTGTATTTTTATTATAATAAAATAAACAGAAATAAAATTACAAATTTCAACAATTATTCAAATATTAGGGTTAACCCTCCAACCCTTTCATTCGTCAACGATTTTCGTTGAATAACCCTAGGTATCGGGGGTGTTTGTTCTAGCTCATATTCGATAGGATTAGGGTAGGCAAGCACGCACCAAAGTCAAACTAATGGGGTTTGAAAATCTTTAAGCTATTACTAACATTGGTATAATTAGGATTTTTTCTAGGGGATATAGATTTTTGTATTACAAGGCGATAATTCTAACAATAAAATTGCGTGCACGAATCAATGCACTATCAATTGCATCGGCAATCCGCCTGTTTCTACGTGTACGTACACAAACGTCAGTCAACGTTAGAGCACGAGAGAAACGTTAGACCCCGGTTAATTTAGCGCTAGTTTATTAATTGGCCTAACTAGCCATACAATATTTTCAAATGCACGGGAGGATCGTTGGCGACCGTGAGGGTAGCAAGGTGAGTTTTCAAGCCGGTCCTCGTTGTATCAAGAATGTCTCGAGTGCGAGCCGAGTCGGTGTGTCCCTTCTATACACTCCTGCTTGCCCTCTCCAGAGCCGCAACCCACCAGCCTGACGACGATCTGCCTGACACTATACGGATCGATCCTATAACCGTGTGGACGCCGGCTACGCTGTTTTATACGATCACCGAAAGAGATTTCCTTCCAATTTCTCTATCGACCCACCGCCAGCTTTTCGAAACTAATGAGGGACGCGTTCGATCCGTCCGTCCCTTTCCTTCAACGCTATATACCCTCTCGCGAAGCGATCGATGCTTTTCCAAACGAATCCCATGAAGTTGAGCACCATATTTCCGGTAAAGACAAGCCGCGAAATGTATAGTATGTGTTCGCGATGAAATTAACCGCACAAACGACTGAATCGCCAAACGACCATTGTTACCTCACCGAATGTACCGATTTTCAGCGATCAAATTTTTACTCGATAGTATTTCGATGAAATTCTCCTTCCCTCGTCCTTCGTTTGTGTTCCTGTCTAAGCGCCATGAAGGAATCAAACGAACATACGAAATACCGTACAGGTTATACGGGAATAAAATCAAAGAAACCGGGATAAAAGAGACTGAAAGAAAACTATCCTCGACGAGTAAATTGTACTTATCGAGCAAGATGTTCGTGCACGGGGAAAACGAAGGTGGTCATGAAGCAACTTCTCACTCACTTCCTCGCGTCGTATCACTTCCACCTGCAGCCGCTTCTGATATTCCTCGCACTCGTCTTTGTACTTTTCCATTTCCTCCTTGGTTTGCCTCATCTTCTTCTTCAGCACGTCGAGAAGGGTGCCCTGCACTTGCGTCGACATGCTGCTAGAATCCGCGTGTGTAGCGTTCTCTCACTTTGTTACAAAAACGCCGCGATTACGTGTTTCGGACGCGGATCGAGCTGGAACTCGGACGACAGACGAAAATGTCGAGAATACGAGATAACCGGTAAACACGACGTACGAGAATTAAGTATGTCGTGGTACGAAAGGTAACCGGTACCCGTACGAGAGATAGAGTTTCGTAGACTCTGAGCTGTCGTGTACTGGCGACCACTGGCTGCTGTTGACTGGAAAGCAAGATGGCTGCCCCCGGCCTAGACGCGCATGCGCACTACCATTGTCCGCGCGTCAAATAGTCCCTTGCCCTTAACGATGCGCAATCAACGATATTTTGTCAAAACAATAAAACAATTAAATACGACGTAATCATTGTTCTAATGATTTGCGTACGATTATGAATGGGGTTACGGTGATTGAGTTTAATGACTATATGGTTTCCTTTTTACTATCCTGACCGCGTTACGAAGCTTGATGCGCACGCCGAGTATCGCTACGCCGATCGACGTGTCGTCGCGCGCAAAGCCCCGGAAATACCGCGCCCGTCCCGAGCGCGCCCAGTCATTCGAATGGACGCTGGACAACAATTCATACGTTGTTTCGCTTTTTCTGCTTTTCCATCCGCATCCGAGGGTCGATTCGCCACGATGATGATAATGTTCGATTACAAATGCAATCTTCCCTCTATTAATTGTTTCCCATAACGAATTTCTCAATGTTATTGTCTACGAATAAATAAGATGGATGGGTGGTGCGTAAATCTGAATAAAAATTGAGTTCAATGGCATAACCGTTATAGGGGATTAAACGGTAAGCTTTAATGATAAAGAAAGTATCAAAGATGAAAACTGTCATTACCATATGCAAATCTTTAATACCAGGATATTAAAGTTGACACGGACTTTAAATGTAGACTGAGATACCTTTTATTGAAGTAAAAGCACCATCAAAAAGATATGACGCAAGCGTAATATTACCTGTCCCTATATAAGTGTACATTATAGTTAAATAAAATTTAATTCTAAACGTAATAATTGCTAATGTTATTAGTGTATCTTGTAAGCGTATGGTATTAAAAATTCTATACGTATTCTTGCGCACCTACAATTACGCCGACCGCAGCTCCACCTAGCAGCCAATGTTCCTACTTAAAATTTAAACTGTATGCAAAGCCCGGGTTAACGTCGAATTAAGAACAATCAACGAAACTTGAATGCAATTCCAAGACAGCAGTCTAAGTTGCATCAGTTATGCGAATAATGTCGGCACAGAGGGCAGCACAATGATTCGCGAAAAATTACTGAATGTGACGCGTAAATATCCTAGATAACCGGTAACGGGGTTAATCTGTTTCAAAGGTCAACAGACGACGTAAAACGTGTTTCAAATTCGTGTGCAATACGGTATGAACATGCGGCAATGGTGTTACATGCCGTATCGTCGTCGGTTTAAATGGTCGTAATAAAGCGGATTTGTGGGAGCACGTTCCGGGAGCAATGCTTACGCAATGCCCTCTTGGAGTGCCGAATAAAAGACCTCTGGATCGGTGTACAGCCGCCACGTATTTTTAGAATGTTGACGAGTGTTACTCGTGTTTAGTTAACGTACACGTCAGCGGCGACAGTGCCGGGTGGAGTTTATTATTAAAAAGCTTTATCAAAATTTAAGGAATTTCCAAGAAAAAGTGAAGGAACTGAAAACATACGGTCGTTATGTTACTTTTGAGCCAAAGTGTACGGATAATCGTTGAACTGATAATACTTCCAACATTGGAGGTGTTGCAATAACTTGCACAGGCACGTCATGTATAACCAAAAGGCGGGGCTTACTCCAAAAATGAATAAGTGAAAACGCACGTCGATGCACACTGACGCATAGGTTAATAATTAACAGAATATACGGGCTTTGAAACACTTGAATACTATTTATCGCGACGGGCAAAAGAATCACGCTTAGCCCATTGTCTTCGTTCAGTAACCCTAACAATAAGTGTTCTTTGTCGGCCGATCGTGCATCGTTAAGCCTCCGTAAAAGAAGTCCATTGCAGCTAGAAGTGCTCATAATGGTCGCTTAATTATTATTACACGGTCGCGACGAGTAATGTATTATTCATTGAACGCGCGATAACACGAGCCGATTTCGATTTCCAGTTGGCAACGAGAAATTAAGGCCTTTAATCAAGCCTTTCTCTAATCAGTATTCGGGGACGGCCCAGTAATTTTCCAGAATGAATGTATAGAAAAAAGAGCGTCTAATTAAAATAAAGAAATTAATAGAGACGCATGTTTTTATGCCTTCAATTGTAAGCAACATGTGATTTAATGATTCGTAACGTCATCGCGGGTAACCGCTAAGATCACCTAACCTAACTACGAGTATTTTTATCCGTTCTCCTCCATATAAGGTATCGAATTCATGAAGATCACCTCGTCCAAAGGAACGACGGTAAACTGAAGAAAGGAACGTCAGATAAGTTAAGTATCACGGATGACCCGTATTCGAGAGAGAAAGCGAGATTTCGATCGATAATTGCTTTTCTTTATCAAGGGACCTCATGACCCTTGAGAATCTACTCTGACCGACGTCAAAGTGCGCCAAGGTCACGTCATGCGGTGACCTTGCGTCATACAATACGGCTATGTATGTAACCCGGGTGCATCACTGATGTATCATGCGATACTGACCCGTTTCAACTGGTTCCCCATGATATTCTGCAATTCGTTCCTTATCAGACTGAATTTCATCATCGTGTCGCTGGAGAATATGGAACATCCAAAGGCCAATCCGGGATAATCGGCGCATCTTCGTTTTCGTCTTTCTCTTTCGGCCTGTACCTCGGCCCGTTCGCTTGGACATCTCAACTTAGCAAGTTCAGCAAGTTCCGGATCCTCCTCGACGTTCGTCGACTCGTCGTCGGAGTTGCCGTCACCACGAGCCCTCGCGACCGCGTGCTCAGGCTCCGGTGAAGTTTCTTTACTTCTAATAACGATAGATTCGTCTCCGCATATTTTCTTCCCACGTGCTCTCGATCGAGGCTTGTCCGACGGTTTGATCTCGTAGCTGTCACAGCTCTCCTTTTCGTTTCTTTCACGAACGGACTGTTCGCGTCGTTCGTCGAGTACGTCCAGGCTACACTGCGCGAGCCTCTGTCGGACGTCCTCGTCTCTCTCATCGTTCTCGAGATTATTCTTTAAATTGTTCGCGTCTTCGTTGGTGGTTGCATCTTTAGCGGGTATCGTTGCCGTCGGATCGCGTAGCCACCTCGCACCGACGATCGTGGGTATTGTCACCGCCTGGGAACAATCCGTATCAATGACATTACTCTTTTCCTCGAGTCTCGGTGACGTTGCAGTAGTTGGTTGCTCGTTGTTAGGGATCGCCGTCTCTTTAACGATATCAGCAGGGCCACACTGCGCGGGTCCTCTGCTGGAGGCGTCGAGACGTCGGCGCGTAGCGTGTCGCGGATGATGCTGATGACCGCGACGTCTCGTGGTCGATGTAAGAGCTGGCTCCATACTACGCTATCCAGCTGCCAACCCTTTACCAATCTCTTTTGTACCACTATGTTTTTTTTTTTTTTAACGTGCTCTAAGCACCACCGTTACTACCACCGCACAAGGCACACCGCCATCTTGTCTGTCACTGTTCGTAACACGTTTCTCACCGCGCCACGCATACGTCCTTCTGACTATCCGTGTGTTGCGGCCGCACACATACCGTGCCACACAGCGAAACGCATGCACGAGAGGAGACACGCTGGTCTCCGCTCTCTGCACCGTCCTGGTCTGATTTCTATCTTGCTTTCTCTCTCTCTGTCCTTGTCTATTGCTCTATACGCGATTCAGGTTACCCCCACCAACTCATCCTATACACCGACTCGAAGTTTGCCGAGCACCGCCGTACGAACGAAGCGGAAGCTGCGCGTACTAACGCTCGACTGGGCGCTCACTTCGCGGGGAATCCGACTCGTTCATCGTGGCGCGCATGCGCAGTCGATCGACGCGGCATCTTACGGTCGGTAAACGTCACCGCACCGTCGGTAACAACACGATTACTGATAAGACTTTCGGCTTTACGAGTGTTCAGAAATAGTCTAGTTTATCTTGTAAATTAAATATTTTTTACTTTTCCCTCTCGAAATATTTGCTCAATGAATCATCTGATTTCCTTGTACATTCACGAAGTTTATACTGTAAATCATCCGATAGGATAATGTACTTAAAAACAATTCGAAATATAAGATTTATAAGGGAAATATGTATCGACGGTTGATGAATAAATTGTTAAAAATGAATAAATATACTTAGTGACTTACGTTTTGTAACGCCTTGTCCTTCTCCTCCAGCTTAGCATTGACCTGCATGAGGGCCTCTTGAGTTTGATCGAGTTCATTTTCAATGGTTTGGATCTTTTTTTGCAGAGCACGAGCCTCTTCCTCCGCCTTTACGAAAAAAAAAAAACAATTATTATATTAATAATTATGTTCAATTACTCTTCAAGAAATAACCAGAACGTTTATTTTTAAATTTCATGGCGTATCAAATGGATACCAAGACTCCAGATCTATAATTAAATTTTTTGAACGATCGCCAATTCAACATTCAATTTTTATTACAAGACGGTGATTTCACCGCTATTTTTATTCCATCTTTTATTACCTCTTTTTTTATTGACCCGTTTATCTAATAAATATAATGAACCTAGATCTTTTGAAATTCATCAATTACCTTTTCAGCTCGCGCGTTCGCATCGCGGGCTTGCTGTTCGCAGAGCAACGCGCGATCCATCGCGTTGTCCTTCTCCAGCTTCATACCCTGCATCTTCTTCTTGATCGCGTCCATGGCTGCGGTTTCGTTTCTTCACTCGTTCACGTGAAAATAAAGGGAAACTAATCTGTAACAACAACATAACATTTTCTCATGCAAACTTATCTTCATCGACTTTTTAATTTTTTTCCCCTCTTTCTATACAGGGAATGCGATCAATTCACAAGGAAGTCAACGATCCGAATGTTCCAAGATTTCAATGACCGTGAGACAATCTATGGACTCAATTAACCGCGACCTATGTTAATTATTATTTGTTTTTCTTTCCGCTTTACGTGCCATTTCCTAGATACGATAATTGCCGTGGAAATTCCGTGGATCGTTCGAAAGGATTCGTGCATGTTCCCTATGCGGGCAGCATGCATCGAAGTATAATTAGCGAACGACCGGATATCCTATTTATAGAGGCAGGTTCTTGCTCAAGATGGCCCGGGCTCTGTACCCCTGTCCGTATATATAAAATCAAACGTCTTTGCTCGCGCCTCTTCTCTTCCTCTCTCGTGACGTCACATGCTCAGGTATGCGATCCTCCAGGACGAACCGAGCGAAACGAAAGGATCCTTCGTTTTATGCGCTCGTTTTACCGTGCCGCGATACGGCGAGGAGGAGGATAGCCACGAACGGGTTAATTTTCTTCAGGGTAACATTCCAGCCATTGTTTTTGTCGATGCTGGATGATTTTATACAGGGAGGTATAATCTTGATATGCAAAAGAGAAATTGAAGAAATCATTTTTCTTTCAACTCTTCGACAGCTCAATTTAAAATGCACGTTGCATTCGTGTTACTGGATGGATCGCTGCATCCGTGCCGTTGCTAACCAGCACTCAAGATTTCTGACTCGCCGGTAATCAGAGATGGTGAGCAAGCAACGAAAGTACAACGGAATTCCAACGACTTCGAAGAAACAGAAATTCTAGACACAATCTTACCACAGAAATGATATTACTTTGTATCATCTGCTTTTACCGTTATCCTATGAACTTCGTACTCTATTTAAATGAAATTTAACATTTCAAGGAGCGCTGTATTTGCTTAAGAAATACTGATGGTTTTCTCGAATATTTATATTTAAGGATGTTAATTGAATTCCGGGGTATACGATGGAAAATATTGATGGAACTATGGAAAATCACGGATTACGTGGTTGAAATAGCATCGGTTGAAAAATAAGCGGAGCTGCCGGATTCTGAGCCGCGCGTATCAGAAGAGGGTTATTTTTACCAGCAAGAGGAGAGGGTGGTATCGTCGCTAGCCGAACCTTTTCGGGTTACGTGTGGCTGAGTTTCGTTACTCCATTCGGTTCGGTGTCTTGTTACGCTGCAAAGAAGATCCTCCTTCTCTATGAACAAATATTATTGCGAATAACAATCTATAAATGTACGAGTTGAATGACATCCTTTTGAATTTTCTCCCTGGCGAACGGGGTCGGAAATTGGGACACTAATTTTGGCACGATTGAGAAACTAAATTTCTTCGAAACCATGTCCAGCCACAAATTATTCTCTGTTTTACGTCCTTCAACCTATCGCGATTTCCAAATAAAACCGTACCGTGTAATGGTACAAAGTCTCTTCTAGGATGATCAGATGCCTCGTTGTTCCTCGATTGTCTGCGAACAACGCTGAAGATACCGCGATATTTTCATTCGTTTGCTACGGGAATCAGTTATCAGTAAGCATTCTGAATAACACCGTCTACGGTATCGGTACTGTTCGTAAGAGAAATTCCTTTCGTCTACGTAGCGAGGATAAGAGATCGGTAGTCTGGGACAATGTTGTCACAGCGGTTACGCGTGAATGCCTGAAATTTTTCATGAGTCACAACTTTTCTGACAGTATATCGTTGTGCCTGCGATTATTCGACGATCAAGTGCTGCGGGCCTGTACTTGCGAAACCACCGTCGAAATTCGCATAACGACAGGTCGAGTCGTTTTTCAGAATCGTCATCCTGGAATGCGGGCAGTTTCGGCAACGTTACGGCTACCGTTACAAAACAAGCAACTGAAATCCTTAGGAAAGTATCCTGTTAACGATCCTATGAATCAGAAACAGATCAGAGTACGAGACGGTAGAAATTGCTCGAATTTATCAGCTCCTCTTGATCTCCGAAGCAAATCTCGGTCTACCTGCCAGATGAACCAGAACGCAGAGGTTCAATAAGGAGTATGCATTTAGAACGTAGAATTTAGAATACTTAAGAAAGGAAAGCTTTCGGTGATTCAATTAGTGGGAAGTGGATCAAATTTGAAACTACAGAGTCTGATTCCTTGCGAAGGAGATCATCTAGGTGAGAGACTAAGTGGAATGCAAGGAGTTCCAACGCTATTCGATAGTATGAGATACTTATAAAAGAAGAACCTTGGATGAACAAAGCTCGAGACACTTGGAATTAACTCGTTCCTTTGATATCCAAAATCAAATCCAGGTTTACCATCCGGAGCAACCGTTGCGGAATCGAATCCTTGTCCCTGGTCAACGAAAAGCTCAACCCTCTTCACTTCGCTGTCCACGAAAAACACCTCTCGATCACGTCACTTTCCTTCACTCACTCGTGGAGTCCTGCGAGCGGACTCGGTGAAACGGCACGGACCAGTGGAGGCGACCGATTTTACGGACGAGAGGAAAAAGAAATGTATGCACATGTTTACTCACGGGGTAGGTATTCAGGTTCGTTCGTCGTCCGGGATGCGTTTGACTCGCTGGCTAAGTCTCGACTGGTCGGCTGAAAGCTTCGGTTACGGTCGCGTTCGTGGCTCCCACCTTTTCGCAGCTCGGAATCGTAAAAGACGACGGTGACGTTGTACGGCAGGACGCGATTCTCTCCCTACCATTGGTTCACAGTGCCCCGATCAGAGTTTTCTACGTACGGGCCTGTGAAAACGTACACCGTCGCGCGAATTTATCTTTAGAATCGGCGACGCTTCGACGCCGATCAACAGGACCCGGCTATTTTCATGTCCTCTGGAGATCTGGTTAACCAACGTGTCTGCGAGAGACAATGGGCTCTTCTTTGGCTCCATTCTTGGGATTGTAGGATTCGATTGGTGAGGAATGTTTCTGCTTGCTGGAAGAGGTTCGAAGAAAGGGTTGAGTGATTTATGAGAATTTTCATTGTAGAGGAAAAATAATGTGAAAAGACACCACTAATATTAAGCATCATTAACATGGGATTACATGGTACAATTCTTTTGAATCGTTAGAAAGTAATCGTAATTTGATAGAGAAAGTAAAACGGCTTTACACAAGATCAGAAAAAAAAAAAGAAATTCACAGAGGATTACGATCTCGATTCCTTGATCTAATTTCCAATCTGTTCGTCCAGTTACCAAGATCAAAGTCATCGAGATTGTAACAAGGTTACCGAATACGTATATGCTCTCCAATCGTATCAAAACCGCAAAACGCGTCAATTTAATATTCCAGAGAGAACAAGATTTTCTATTAATTTAAATAAATTGCATATGTAAACTGAAGGTTTCAAAGAAATGTACGTCCAGTAGGAAAGACTCAATATTAGGTGGAGGTAATTTTGGGATTGGGGTTATAGGCATCTCACTCGATCTCCTTGAGTCAACTCGTGTCATGGTCAATTCGCAATGAGTCGTACAACGCTTTTAGCCTCCTCGCTTGCGCAATTTATTTCGAGATTTATCGAACAATTCGAGCGTTTTCCAAATTACAATGTCAATCTCGTTTAAAGTAAATCGCAGCTCTATTAAATCTCTCCCAGCTGGATATGGACATTTCATTTTTCATTTTTAATTAATATAAATTGTCAAAAATTTTCCTCGACAACCTGTTCACGCGCGAAATTCTTTGCGTAAGATCGGTCGTCATATCCCATACGATCATCGGTCTGATTCACTACCATAAAAGGAAAAAGTAGGTAAGGGTCCCAGCGCAGCCTTGACTCATATACCGTTCATTCGAGTGTACGTTTACAAGCTTGCTTTTTAAACATCGATCACATTCTAAAAGTTAATTAATATGACGTCATAGACGAGTTATCTTATGGGAGTTCGTGTCATATATGGAAAGGGGTAGAATTCGATCGATCATAGATTTAATTTTCCTTGATCTTACATCACCTCCA